CTAAACTCGCCCTAACATAAACTGCCGCAGAAACAAACAGTTATGAGGAAAAATAATCAAGATCGCTGGATAAGACATATGAATGAAATGAAATGCTACTACATTTCACTGACTTCATGAGATGCAAGCACTCGAAAGCAGCCTAATAGTGGCAGATAGCAGTAGCAACCAGAGAGTGGCAAAGCTGTCGATGGTGTCGCGCTCTGAACACTGCTTAAAAGCAAGTTGATTGGCGGTTTATGCCGGTATCAATTACCATCGAAAAGAATGAATAAGAGGAATTGGCTGTCGCACTGGTTCAGTTGAACTCCGGTTCTACACGAGAGCAGTGATATTTGCCTCTACACCATTTTCGTCAGTATATTTTTCAAAAATAAAATATTAAAATATAAGAATTTTTCAAGATGTAATAATTATTCTGCCCATGCCAACTGTTTTATTTTTATCTTGCCAAAAGTGTCTAATAAAAAATCCCCATCCCAGTGTTATCACTGATATTCCTTTTTTTTTGTGGCCTCAGAACTCTTTTTCAGAAAAAATTGACGGATCTGATGCTCAGCTTACGGCTGTTGAAAATATCCGCAACTCCGAACGATTTTACGATTGGTCTGAGCGGCGAATTCAGCCCCAAAGGCCGTGGTGGCACGCCATTTCATCCGTTCCCCATGCAATTCCCGAGAACTCGCAGCACCGGAAATCGTATGGCTGAAGTACTAATCAGCGATTATACGATTAACACCCTGTTTTACTATATGCATAAGTAAGACATCACATTTATAAATTTATTAGCCATTTATAGTCACTGACAAAAGCAGAAGGGCGAGCGCTGGCTGGTTGTAACGGAGAGAGCAATGGAGCGAGGGGTCTAAACGGTTCTCTTTGTAATCATGTAAACAGCGATATTTTTCGTCAGACGAGCAGTGTGCAAGATCTCACTGCAGTAAAAAATTCACTAAAAGATGCATGTTCCTCGTTTTTTAACCAACTGGTTGATGTTGCGTATTAGTGAATGGCATTTGCTAAAAAGCAGACAGAGACTAGAACGAGGAGGTGAAGCACATACATCTGAAGAGGTGATACATTGAAAATACTTGCTGTTAGGT